AATATTGATTATTAATAGATGCATGCCTAATTGGATTATATTTTGATTCAAAGCGGGATATAAAGCATGCGTCCGTACTGTAACGGTAGGCCGAACTCAATTGATCCAATATCCAATAATATTGTGAAAATCCAATATATTGGATGACCAATATTATTGATCCCAATAGATTGGGTGATCAATATATTGTATTGGTGCATGCCTATTAGTGGGTAATAGTAAAACAATGCGGACATCCACTGAGAAACTCACGAGGTGATAAAACGCTTTTTGCTCGGAGTCTAGCGGGTTATAGGTTATCGACCATGTTGATTCCGAATATGGCTATGGGAGTGGCCCGTAGCCCAACGGGGAGAAAAACGGGTTCAGAGACCCGATTTTCTGGAGAACCAGTTTTTCAGGAAATCTAAGAAAGGTTCTGGTTATATTTTAACGCAGCATGATTGCAGCCCGCAAATTTCTGATTAAAATGAGACAACTTCCAGCTCTACATAACCTTTCTTTGTAAAGTTATTGAATTTACAAGAAAAGCCCTAAGTGTTCATTGTCAGGTCAAAGCTACAGAAATAAGAAGGAAAAATTAATTTAGGGCTTTTCTTGTAAATTCTCTAATTTTACAAAGAAAGATCGTGTAAAGCTGGTGGATGTCTGATTTTAATCAGAAATTTGCGGGCTGCAATCATGCTTCATTAAGAAAGGTTCTGGTTATATTTTAGAGTTTCTGAAAACCGAATATTCGATGGGCTAAGGACCACCCTCATGGTTCTATTCATAATCAGCATGGTCGATAACCTATAACCCGCCAGATTCCGAGCAAAAAGCGTTTTATCACCTCGAGAGGCTCCTTCGTCAGTTATGCTCAATTTTTTATTCATTGGATGTAAGAGTGACGCATTTTTGTTGAGGTTTGTAGTCTTTATTTATGAGCAAAAATTCCTTTTTTGCTGCTTAGGGATCAGTAACGGTTTTTGTTTAATCTTGTTTATTAATAAATAGTAAAGAAAAGTTCACCAGTTTTTTGGGAAGTACTCGAGTATTTTTCCGAATACTCGTTAAAAAACTCTAGAATACGAGTACTAGGAATTTTATACTCGTACTCGCCTATCTCTGTCGTACGCTGGATTTTCTTTTACCGTGGTAAACTTCGATAAAGACCTTTTTTACCATTATCGATGGTAAATTATCGAAGCTTGTGTGATTAATGTTTTTATGCATAGAATAGAAGAAGTTAATATCAATGAAAAACATAAAAAAACGTTTCCATTTACAACTACTTCACTTTGTAGTTTGTCTTTGAGAAAAAAAGAGTTGGTGTGTAACGAGAAAAGTTGAACTTCATAGAATTTGAAACATTTTTCTATATCTTCTCCGTTTCCGTCCGATTTGATAAAGGAAAAAAATTCTTTTTACAAGCATTGTTGTGCACGCGCTTGTAAAATTTACTTTCTACTATAAGTTATTCTTTGCTAGTGGTTACAACGTCAAAAAGTTAAAATGGAAGTTCGGTAAAAAAATTTTTACCGTCACCGCTTATCCCTACTCGGCATGCTCTACGGTCTCTAGACTTGCAGCCGGTCGCATACACCCTGCTATCTTAGATATCGTTTTAAATTCAAAAAAAGAATTTTTACGATTAAAACGAAAGATGTGAAGAGATTGGAGCTACGGAATTGTTTGTCAGTAATACGTCCTTGTTTATGTCCTAATACAAACCAGGATGCAGAAAAAATATGATAGATTTTTCTAGCCCTTCTTCGACTTATTTAAAATAAAAGATTTGTTTATTTTTAGCAGTGAACAACAAACAATAGATGAACAAGCAATTAAAATTGAATTGGATTCTAAACATATATTACATGGTGATTTAACATTACCATCGAATTCAATTGGTTTAGTTTTATTTGCTCATGGTAGTGGTAGTTCACGTTTATCGCCACGTAATAAATATGTTGCTCAACAATTAAATCAGGCTCGAATTGGGACATTTCTACTTGACTTACTCACTGAAGACGAAGAAATAGAAGATAATAAAACACGAAAATTAAGATTTAATATATCGTTCTTATCTGATCGACTATCACAAGTAACGGACTGGTTATGCCAAAATAACGAACACGTTAAAAAATTACCATTAGGATTTTTTGGAGCGAGCACGGGTGGTGCAGCTGCAATTATTACCGGTGGTGTTAAACAACAGAGACGAACAAAAGCAATTGTATCAAGAGGTGGACGACCGGATTTAGTTCCTCAAGAACAATTGAATCAACTTACTGTTCCAACATTGGTAAGAAAAAGATTCAAAAGTTCGATTTATAGCTTGACATACAGTCCGTATCCTTCTGCAGAATAAGTGCTTCCAACTATTTGTACTTCCAGGATTTTTGAAAGAGAAATCTAACGGTTTTATTATCATCTAGAAATTATTTTTCAGTATTCTACTAAATCGAAATAGATGCTTAAAATAGGAAAACTCGCACCTCAGTGGAATAAAGTTGTATCCACCTGATATTTTCAGAGATGCTGGGGCTATCCATTCCCAACCTACACTGGAAGTTTCAGCATGCTACGACGCTTTCTTCCAAAGATACGAGCTTCGGCTTTGGAAAATCACCTATACTTTCGCTTAAGGTGTTGTTTCAGCTTTGATAGTCATCATTGTGAAAAACTTCATTGTAATACTACTCCTTTCATAAAATGTAGCTATTGCTCGAGAATACTGTGTTCCGAAGACTTTTATGAAAGTTATCATGTACACTGAACTTCTGAATGTTTAGGTCAGTTAATTTATTTTTACAAGATTACTGTGTGCTATATAGTTAATAGTCAGCAGCATTTTGGCTGAAATAAAAAAAGTACTCTTAATCTGGAACGCCTCTACGCGGCAAAAGAGAGATAACGCCCAGTTTAACGATGTTTTTGGTCAGAGCCAACTATCTCACAATTTTTCAAACTTTCTTGTGTGTTACGATTAAGAGAAAGTTATCGTTCAGCCTTCAGCGGAAGTATAGGTGATTTTCTGAAGCTGATAGAAAAGCTCGTATCTTTGAAAGAAAGTGTCGTAGCGTGCTGAAACTTTCAGTGTAGTTTGGGAATGATCTGACTTCTGCAAAATTGCCTAGTTTTTTACCAGTTTATCGATTTTTTCAATGAGTAATCATAATCGATTCGAGAAAATCATTCACTATCATTTCTGCTTCGTTAGTTCTTTTTTCGTTAGTGCTTCGTTCATTAGACGCTGTTTTTTGTTTCAGTTAATTGTTGGTGGTGCCGATACTGATGTAATCAAAATGAACAAAGAAGCTTATTCACTAATGACACAATTGAAAGATGATGACAAACAAAAATGTTTAAAACTGATACCCGATGCAACGCATTTATTTGAAGAAGAAGGAGCCTTAGAGCAAGTATCAAAACTGGCAACACAATGGTTCAAAGAAAATTTTCAACAAACTTGAAGTTAAATTCAATATTATTACAAGTCAACGATTTGAACTCAAATATCTGATGATTAATTATTCCAGCTGTTATAAACTATTGCTATAGTCTAGCATGATGTTAGGTGTCACATACTGTAAAAAAAGAAGTGTATAAGTGACGCACATAAAGTGAACGCCAAAATGATTCCCAAGTCTCGAATGCGAAGCACAAGTGCGTAAAATGTACTCTAAGAAGGAATCGAATAACTTTACATACTGAGATCAACGATAAAGTTTAGTTATGTAAACTATTTGTGCTGAAAATACTGCAGCTTCATTTATTGGTTGTGTGAATCTCGCATATAACAATGCTCTCTCTCATTTTTTTCTTACCCGTTTTGGCTGAAAATGACAGAATATACACTTTCCAAGACGGTGATCACGATTCTGAAATTATTTTTTCATTTGATGCAATAGTTTGTGAGAAACATGGAAAATAATAAAAAAATTTAATACTTACATTTTTTTACACACTGAAATTGATCATCTAGAAAAATACATGCCACTTCTATTTTCAATGAACGTCTGCGTTAATTACACACCTAGTAACACACTTTCTTTTTTTACAGTGTATGATGACCTATATAAGTTATTTCGTTTGACCGTAAAGTTAAATTGTTCACGTTTTTTCTTTTTTCTTTCTTCTTCATCCTTCTAGTCCGTTTTATACCAGTAATTGCTACATTATTGTCTTTTATTTTTCATTATTTTCTTATCTTTTTTTATTAGACATATATACAGAGACGTTTTCACTGAAAGGGCAAACTATCTTTTGTTAGTATTTAGAGTCAGCTCATTGTTCAGTTGTGAAACTTTTTGTTAAGCAAGAAACGAAAGCATTTAAAAACTGTATTTTATCTATTTAAAACTGAAAATGTAGAATTGTCGATTTGCGTACGATCCAGGGATCACAGATCTTCTGATTTTGGCAGAAAAATTCTGATTTTTTTGGAGCTGTTTCTGCCCTAAGGTCTACTAATTTTCTACTTCTTTTTCTCAGGTTTTTCTGATTTTGGACTTTTATTTTCGTGTTCTGGATCTGGGATCCATGGTACGGTCAATGCAAGCACATGATATAAAAATAGAATATCCTTATTATTCATGAACGATGAAAAAGGAAAAGGAAATGGACAAGTATTCAACAAATGCAAGGATTAATATTCAAGATTTTCTTATAGAAATGTTTTAAAATTTAAAAAAAGTGAAACAGATATCGAAAATCTATGCTAAATGCGCGTATGAGGTTGATTTTCTGATCGTTCCCAAATCAGAAACACTTGCACATATATGAGAGAAAGGTAACTTTCTGGTACAATTGATAAAAAAAAATGAAAGTGTTCATAAAAAATTTGAATGGTACGTTTTGTTCCCCTATCTTTGCCGAGTATCCTGTAAAAATTTCCCAACTGCCAGACTCATACTGGCTGATTTAGGAGGGAGACAATTTTCAGTTTTTGTCATAGAGAATTTTTGGCAGGATTTTGCTAGAAAAAGGGTTGAAATAGATGTATTCTACATCGTTCGACAGAGAATGATTCGAGCAGTACAGTGGGACTGTGAGCAAATGCGTCAAGCCGAAAAACCG